CAACACACACACACACACACACACACACACACACACACACACACACACACACACACGTGCACCCATAACATGCAAGATGCAGAGTCAAAAATGACGTTGTATTTCCCGTTTCCCTGATTTCAGTTCTTTACCTGTAGTGTATCACTTTGATGGGCTGTTTTTAATGAAGATCGGTATACTCAATTAATAGTGATTAATGATTTTGGTTTACTGTGAATCTGCGAGATTTCAACGAACTTGTAAGTGAACTGCTCGACATTATCACAAATAGTCTCGCATGAAGATAGCATTTTAAAACACCATTCGCTTTCAGCAGAATGACTACCATGAAAAAAATTTATCATCAAACAGCCGGTTGCTGACAAGTGTACGATCTCCCGCACTTGACTGTCACCTATTCTTGAAAAGCTCAAATGACTATCAATGAGCTAATGCTTACTAGCTACATCTAGGAACCTATCCAGAAATGTATTCCGATAACGTAAAATCTAATCACAATGATAGTGCTACACGATCGAGGACCAAACATACCAGTGACCAAAATCGTGCGACCATTCTATCCAATACATGCCATTTTGGATGATACCGTGTTACCAAGTACATGAAGCTGTTTTGCAGAGTCACTTTAATAGGAAAAACAAACAGATATACCCTACATTTGGATTACGACGAACTGTTCGAATTCAGTGGAACCAAATCTTTTGTACCATATTTTGATGTATTAAATCTATTTAAAAGGGAGCATAAAGCAGCCTTTCTTCGAGTCGAAACACATGACAGTAAGCAGTAAGTAGTGTTGTCGTAATTCCAACTTATACAGAAATTTTATTCAAGTTCGACTCTTACAGTTTTCACAATAAATAGATGTTCTTAGAGCCTGTAAAATACTTCGCGAAAAAAGGAAAAGTGAGATCATTAAATTCAATTCGATTCAGATGATGCCTGAACACATATTCGAAGTGATAACCAGTTAGGGTTGGTAAGAAGTCCAGCTGGTCCTCCACTTTGTTTGTCGGTCTGTACATATGCGTGTGTGTATATATATATGTATATATGTGTGTATGTATGTGCTCATATATATGTGTATATAGCTTTATGCCAGTTCCTTATATATCATAGTTTTCATGTCGAAATTTCAGCTTCGTAGGTTACCGTATTTTGATGTATTAAACCTACTTGAAACGGAATAAAAAAAATAACGGCAACCTTCTTTCGAGTTGAGAAAAACACAGTTTTGTCCCAAATAGAGTGTCATATTCGAATGTTTACATCGTTATCTAATCAGAATGCGTAAAAGGAAATGCCCAAAATACAAGGCCCGAAGTGATAAAGAGTTAAAAAACTGACTTTTACATTTTCCGTAAACCCACCTTGTATCTGTCAAACTTTTCACTATCTGTCTCATCTTACATAAAAAGTCAATTAGACTTGGAGTACTTAAATAGAACAGCACAATGCGTTTATGAACTGTTTGAAAGTAATAAAATGTGGAACTGCTCTAAAAGAAATAAAGATAAAGCTGTGCAGGCTTGAGGCCATGTTATTCTTCTCAAGTATGAAAAAAGTGGGATGCCGGAATAGTCAAAATTTGTACGATATCCCTGAAAGAATGTTTACAACAGCTCTGCTTCCAGATATGCACGAGAAGTAAGGCTTCAACTTTTGCTTACATTAGCTGAAACAAAAAGAAAAGGACCCATCGCTACTATTGCAAATCAACTGTCCTAAAAGAAAAGAATTGTACATATTATTAAGCTTACAAATTTTTGATTTGTAGGAAATGTAGAAAGAGGTCTGTGAATTGTGAGGATACAACTTCTTGTACAGCTGTTCTGATCGATCCATGTCATGAAGCAATTCAACATTCAGCTGTTACAGTTTCTTACGACATGTATCTTTGTATCCATAGCTATTCCGTAAATTTTTACGAACTGTTAGTTATCAGCAAACAAGTTTCTATTCAGTACAGCTCGATGAACAACTGCTTATCTTTCTGGATAAGAAAGAAATGCAACCTGTAGCTTAACTGGAAATTTCAATTTTTGAACTCAAAAGCATCCGCCAGCAATTGCGTATTATCGTTCTTCTCACTAATTTTTTCTCATTAATAAACATGAGAACCAGTAGGATCATCACGGCTGTTTAATTTGTAGTGATGACGTATAATTGTGGTTTAATTCGTCAAGTCATCCCATCCAGTTCATTTCCTCTTGAATTAATGTCTTAAACTGATTCATATACTGCTTTAAATAAAGACACAGAGAGCGCCATTTTTTTTTTTAATTTCAATTCATATGAATAATTTCAGCAACTATATTTAAGACAACTTAGTATGTCTATGTATAATCATCTCAAATCCCTCTTGTTAAGCAGATGAAAGTGTATATTTGACATTCATGCTGCCTCTTCACCACGATCGTTTATAACGTTTCATTTTTCAAAAGTATGAGTTATGAAACGACCCGCAGAACATTGCCATGAGACGACAAAACACTTTTTTTATTTTATTCAATTAAGTTCAAATAAGGTGCATTCAATAATATTCCACCAGCCTAATTATAAATACTAATGGCAGAATGCCACCGCATCATTTCGCTGATTTTTCATTTTTCGCATCATTCGTTGCCACGTTGATCACTGTTTTAGTACTAAGAAGCATAGTCAGTCTTTTGTGGACCTTCCGAGTAAGCGATAAAAATTGGAGTGTTGACTAAAAGATTAGCAAAAATATTGCGGAATTTCAATCACGTTAGTTATTATCAAAGTTTATACGTAATAAGAGTAAGATGGCAGGTCATGAAATTAGCTAGGTGAATTTACTGGCTAGTTAAGCTCACATTACAAACACATACATACAGATACATACACATACACACACACACATATGTATCAAGTTCTTTGTTTATAACAAAGTTTGTTACGAATTTTCAGTATTTTGAAACTCCTTTTGTTGATTTGGTTGCGGTTATTTCGGCACAACATCGGTACCATTTCCAAGAATTGGTTCAAAATTACAACTCATTCCTATCACAGCTTCGACCTCAGCTGTTGAATCGCTAATAACTGATTTCAAATCACGATCCGTGCTAAATTCGCAGGTTAATGTGACTTCATTTAGCAGAAATTAATTATAATCAGATTCATAAAAGACGCCAATTACGAACTCAACTTTTCCCTCATCACCTTTTACATTTCTCTTCCCTCCCTCTTCTTTGATTCCATCTCACTGCGCAATGTGATTGGCTGAAAAATATTGCAGTCACCATTCAACGAAATTTTTGCTTGTTATGTGAAGGGTAAATAAAAAATAGTGGATTTTTTGTAGACTGAAAAATATCTTCAAAATGATCCCCAAAAACACATAGTTGGCAGTGAAGATGGATATGGAGATGAAATTTATTTACCCTGCACAGGTGACACTTCTAACGCTTTAACCTTATTTGTCGCATTAGGGTCGAATTTTCTGTCCTGGATCTCTTGACCTAGCTGGACACTTGCGTGATATGCGGTGAGGAAGAATCAAAATACATAATTTTAACAAGTAAACTACACTGAATAGCTTTTCAGGTTATCTATATTTTTTATTATTTGAAGCGAACTTTAACTGGTAACATATTAGATTAATCAGACAACAATCTAATAATATATGATTTCCATGACAAGTAGGTTGGAATTCGTAAGGTCTTTTAAAATTTTGTTCAACATATTATAAGTATGCAGCAAATAACTTATGCAGCATATTTAGATAAAATGGTTTAAAATACAGCTAAATTATCCCTAACCTCTCTATGAAGGCAAAAAAGATACATAGGCATCCCGACTCTTTTCCCACACCCTCAGTAATTCTCAACTTCTCTAACCAGCATTTGTTAGATGTCTTCCTCCACGTCGCCACTCCGCATTCTACCAACGCTTTCCAATTTCACGGATGGTACTTCGGGAAGTTGTTCTAAAAACGCGGTGAATTTCGGATGTGTGGTTATACTAATTGTGATGAGGTAGGGTGGTGACTGATATTAGTTTAAGTGAAGTTAAGCTTTCTGTGTTTATATATCTCTGCGTTTTTTTGTCGGAATCAATAACAGTAAAATTCGATTATTTTGTAATTTGCTTATTGTTTGCTCATTGTTGTTGCATTTTTAAATGAGCGGCAAATGTGATCAGAATTTATTACTTATCAGTGGCACTTTATTTACAGCTTTTTTTGGGACCTCTTTTGTCCTACGTTTTGTGGCAGTTTCGCGTGGATAGAATTTACATATACGTATATATATATATATATATAAATGTATATAATGATGTCATCTTCTCATCCTCTTAGTCGAACGTAGGTCACGTCTTTTCATGACTCATTATCTGCTACAGAATTTGCAAATAAGTTATTATGATTGGCGTGCATTATACTAATTCATATGCAGATTATTGTTCACTTCTATCTAAAATCTCCCCACATCATACGTCACTCCCAGTTAATCATATCTAAAAACACTGTAATGGTTGGAGGCAGTTCAATTTTTCCTTACATCAGAACCTTGCATTTTCAAATATTTCTTAAGCTGATTGTTTGTTAATCTTTTGCCACTGTTGCTTCGATAGCTTATTAAACCTTCAGTAGATGCTACTTTTTTTATTGTCAATTGCTGTATGTTAAATTTGTCGAAATGCTTTGCCTAGCTTATTTTATTTGCAGAGAATGTGGTTGCCGCGGCTGATGCGTGCGGCAAATGAAGAACAGGAACACCGTTCTGCTGTTGGGTGTAAGTTCATATTTATCACTGTGATGTATTCATTTGTGCTTTCCCTGTTTGTTTGTTTCCAAGGAGCCGTACCTTGCAAGCTTATTTACAAAAGAAAAAATTACAAAATACAGGAGAGAAAATTACCCATAACCTCACTAGAATGTTTGTATTTATTGGGTCAATACCACTTTAGTTTACTGCATTTCGGTCGATTCCACATGAGCAGATTATGTTGCATTATTTCAGTGTCAGGTCATACTGCACAAAACTTGCTCGGGACATTGGTGACTTGCGACTGTGGACATCTGGCATCATGCAGACGAACAGCATCATTGGTTTGCTCTCGAAACGATACACAAGCATTAAAACATCGGTTTACCCTTGTTAAGTGGTGTTGTATCGCATTTCTTCTACTCATCTTTACCCTCATTGGTAGAGTTATACATTCTTAATGTATTGGCATGTAGGGCCATTAGCATACGGTAGAACTCCTTTTCGTAAAGTAGTAATTAGCTACCGGAATAGTAATTAGCTATTCAAAAAATCATTTTATCGATTTCATTTATTGGTTATTGTAGAAAATTAATGGACTCATTCAGTTGGATCAGTCAAGGACAGATTAAATTAATGCATTCCTGAATATCCTCTGTAAAAATATTTCTAATGGTTTTTTAGTAAACAGAAGTCAGTAAAAACTTTGAATTTGTTTTCGAAAAATGCTAGTAGGAAGAGAACAAATCATATTGCTGTCTGACAACTTTATTCGTGACATCTGCATACATGATTTTGAACATTTTCTGTAAAATTCAGAAAAGTTATTTTAACCAGAGTTTCCTGGATAGGGAATATAGTGGTTACTTGCTTCGGATTTTATAGCAATTTCAGCTTTCTCTGGCTTGTTAACTTCGACACCTGCCGAACTGACATCCGGCAACTCATACCTCTTCCTGACAATCATTATCACCAGTTTACTTTTGTTTGGTGGTTTGTGTTGTTTGCGTGCGCGTACAATCTGCAAACATCGTAATGTTCGCCATGGCTCGTTGCATTGTCGTCATGGCCATTATCAGTCACATTCCCTCCGACTTCCTATTTCGCTTTTTGCACATAGTGCTTATTCACGTCCACATGTTCATTCGTCTCCAAGCTCCTTTCGTTTCTCCGAATCACCCTTGTGAGTGAATTAGTGTTAAATTCCTCCAGATTACTTATTCGAAAGTTACACTTCCCGTATTTAGATAGGTCAGAAAGTCTTGGTATGTTGTGTTTCAAAGTAGATAAGTACAGGAAGCAAGATTGCTATGTCAGAAATACATCCAAAATATAACAACTGCTAAAAGATACATTCATACTGGTGTTCAGATTGATAAAACTATATATATATATACTAAAGTCACTTCAGATTTTCAGCTATAATGCTCTTTTGGAAACCTGTACAGCTCCACTGCCAACGTACAATGAAGCAGTTAAGGAACCCGTATTTGCACCACCAGCTTATTCAGCAATAATTACGCATTCTTCAGCAACACCTGTTAGTTCACTAAACGAGACTCACCGTATTTCAAGTTCTATTCTATCGTCAGCTGGGAGCGAAAGAATAGGAGAAAGCACCAGTAGCAGTAGCAGTAGCTCTAAGCAGGAATTGTTGGTACAGTTTCAGCCACATGTAATTGGAACTGTTACTTCTGTGGAAATTCATCATATGGATGAGACGGAAAATGAGGTCGTGCGGGCTAAAGAAAATAATTCTTCTGATGAGTAGTTCCATGGCATGTTTTCTTTATGTAATCACACGCTGCTGCATTATTTGTGGGTACGTTGTAGATTTGTTTTTCTTTTCGAAAGTTTTTTTCTTTCTCTTGGTCACAGTGGATTAATTAAGCCTGTTAAAAATTTCGTTTTTGAGAATTTGATCCCGGTTTTCTTTTCATTGCATAAATATAACTGGCAAAAAATATCCTTGCCTTTCCAGGACGTTTTTTACGAAATTCGTTGCAGTCACGTCATGAATATAATTGATTGGGACTCTGAAACAGACTCGAAAATTAAAGAAAATAACGTTTTCGATGCTGTTCAACTAATCCGGGAACATTGCCGATTTATCACTATCGGGTAGCACATTTAGGACTGTTCGTTTGGTATGTTCACTTACCACTGCTTCAAGGTAGTTCATTTCATTTGTGTTAGATCAGAAATTTAAGGATTTTATGAATATGCTATTTGCTATCCTTTTGAGGAACCAGTGAAATTCAATGGTATAATTTAATGAAATCTATTTTGTTCATTTTGTTTTCTTTTTGCTAACTTGCGTCGGGTTTTGTACAGTTTATAGGCATTTATGGATTTCGTCAGTTATCTTTATATTCTTTTACGTCTTGTAATCCTATCTTTGCGACTACTTCACTTCATATTTTTGGTATTTTTCGTTTCTTTGTTATACTTCCATTAATTTCATCTATTTCATCACATTTTGTTCTTAGTAAAAATTTCTAGTGTATTGGATTGTTTTTGCTTTTTTTCGAATTCAATATGATTTTGTCAAATATGCTAGTCATTTTATTCTATACAAGCAAAAGAAGTCGAGCCCTGCGGTGTTGGGATGGAATGTTGCATTCCATCTGCGGCTAAACCCATGATGGCAAATATGGTGGTGATGTGCTGCGCTAAATTTTGTATCGACAAAATGTCACTCAAGGGTGTTCTGTTAGC